AGACTTAAAAATCAATTTTGGATAGTGCGCATTATATTTCAGCTTCCTCTTAATTGAAGCTACAACTGGGGGATGGTCGATCATCTCCACTGGGTAGGAAGTCTGTCCCAACTGCAACCTGCAGTTCCTAGCCCCTCTTTGAGCAGACAAGGAATAATCAAATCGCGACAGAAAATCAGTTCCCATTAAGATGTGACCAGGAAAATCAAGGTTCTCTACGATCGTACATGTGTGAGGCTGCAATTCCCCATCAATCTCAAAATTAACTGTACCTTGACCTACGATCTCAATCTTTTCCCCATTGACTGCTGTTAATGTCTTTGCGCAACGTTGAAGACGTGCATACTTAAAATTGCTGAAGGCTGACTTTTTAATTACTGTTGCCTGGCTTCCTGTATCAACAAAAGCTGTCAATCTCACACCTTCCACTTTCACCTCAAAAGTAGGCCTGCCATCACTAGGAGCCTGCTTTCATGCTTTCGTAGGAGTGACTTCGCAATCCCTCTGTATATGCCCGCGCTTCCAGCAGGAGTAACACCTCCGCGGATCTCTGTTGGTACCCCGCGCAGGGTGGCTCGAACTTGCAGCTGAGGGCTGCTTCCCGCCTGATGAACCCGCGCCACAGTTCCTCGGCTTGGCTCCCTCGCCTTTACTTAACGCCTCTACGTATGGCGACAACTGAGTGCCCGGCGTCTCCGTGCGCATCTGCCTGTCTAAGGCTGTGGCGGCCTGGGGTTGGGGTTGAGGTATGGTGTGGGTGGCCTCGGGTTGGGGTGTGGATTGAGGTTGGGGTTGAGGTATGGTGTGGGTGACCTCAGGCTGGGGTGTGGATTGAGGTTGGGGTGGGTATGGGGTGGCCTGGGGCTGGAATGGGTATGGGTATGGGGTGGCCTGGGGTTGGAATGGGTATGGGTATGGAGTGGCCTGGGGTTGGAATGGGTATGGGTATGGGGTGGCCTGGGGTTGGAATGGGTATGGGGTGGCCTGGGGTTGGAATGGGTATGGATATGGGTATGGGGTGGCCTGGGGTTGGAATTGTTGTAGTGACGGATGAGGTGTACCTAGGTTTTGTGGGTGCTGTGGTATTGGTGTTATGTTGGGTAGTTCCTGCTGTTGGTGTGGTTGTTCATGTTCCCGTTGAACAGGTTGCTGTTCTCTACCGAGCGAAGTGGGACGTCCTGCCATACTAACTGAGGCCCCATGTCTGCCCTGCTGGCATGGCGTCGATGTTATTTGTGGGGGAACCCAAGACGGCTCTCCCCACTCATGGGACGACTCCTCGCAAGACTCCCCACTCATGTCAATAATAGTATCGCTACCTGAGCGATCCCCAGTGGTGTCGGAAGAGGTTCTATCCTCTACACTCCCATTCCCACTGGTCCCTACTGACTGGTCATTATCAGGGTTAAACATTTTCTGTGATTCCTGTGTGCCACGTCTCTTCTAAACTACCCTTTAGTACACCCTCGACCCGGACTCACTACAACCGTGATCTTACACAAATAAAAAAAAATCACAACTCTTTTCTAAGAGAAAACTACTAAATTCCCAAAATAGGAAATACACCGATTTATCGAGAGAATCGCTGAAGTGAATCCAATGAATGAGTATCTGCCCCGCACTCGTGTCTGCCCGTGAAATATCCCGCAGTTCTATTGCTGAAACCTAAGTCCTTTACGTTAAAAAAAATAAAGAATCTAATTTATATAAAACAATTTAAATGATAACGCAACTAACGCGCAGCACTCGTGATGGATTAATAAAGAATATTTACTGTACTTGAATACTAAACGCGCTTGAAGTGAGCAGCGTGGCCACTGATGACTGATGGAGCGGGACCAGCTGCGCTGAAAAAAAACTAAAGTCCCGCGCTTTTTCGCTTAAACGCTGAAAAATCAAAATTTTTGTTCTGAAGGAAAATAACTAGTTTTACGTTAATAAACCGCTCTAGCGATTAATATAGACACCCAGGACCTATAAATGCTTACTAAAAATTGAATTTTTATCAAAAAACTACGTTTTTACTCAATTGCTGGACTCTGCCAATTTTCCTGACTCCGAGGGAAAAAAATTTCTATCACCCCAAATATCACAAAACTCCTTTAATTCACAAAAATTTGGGTTTCTCGTTTCCAGATATAAAAACGTTATTATTCACTACCGACGTTGTATGCAGAACAATACTGACACTTCGGGCGGTTTCAACACTCATTAATTCGATTTTTCGTCAAAATCCGAGATTTTCACCTCAAATGGACTCTGACAAAATTACGACACGATTTTCTCGAAAAATAACTAAATTCGGCAAAAATGTAATTATCACTGTTTAATGCTTTACGAACAGAATTACGTCCCTTGCGCGCACTAGAGAGTAATACTGGCCCCAGAATATACACGAAACATGAAAAATTAGAATTTCCGCCAAAAAGTCAGATTCTAGCCCAAGCTGGACTTAGAAAATTTTCCACCTACGTTTCTACTGAAAACAGAATTCTAAGTCTACAAACACAATTCTACCGTCTTACTGGTAAAAACTAGAAAATATCACTCGCATCGACTGGAGAATCCTAATGACGCCCAGATCATACACGTGACCACGGATACAAATTAATTACAGTTAACGAGTTTCCGACATCGACTTAGCCGAAAACTTATCCCAAAATACTTAGAAATATACCACGGACTCTATTAAGCATTTACACGCAACTTATTATCCCTTAAACTCCTTCACTTATCTATCGTGACCGACATATAGCCCTAAGTCCAGAGGATTAACAACGCCTCTGACTTAGACTAACAGAACAGGGAATAACAAAACTTAACGTACGCACTTAGCCTAATATGCAAGAAAACGCTAACCACTTGGGAAAATTTTTAACCGGGGATGAATTTAGGGGAAAAAATTAATCTAGAACAACGCAAATAAACTGAAATTACTTTATAAATTTAAGTATACTTAATTCAAAAATGCACTCGACTTAATCTTATAATTGTTCCTACCGGCTCGCCGTACCACACCTAGCCTAGGGGCCACACCCTCTAGGTTCCAACAGAGCGACACGCAGCTTTCAGCAACAATTATGACTAGGGACGACTCAACCTCCACTAAGTGTGCGATCACTTAGTTGTTGAATCGCTGCTAGGTAGTTTACTAGTCCGTCCCTCGGAGGCCGCAACGCCCTTCACGGATTACGTTTTTCCTTAGCGTTTTGGGTCGTCTAATAACGCCCTCGGACTATCTACTGGCGTCCCACAGATATATCCGCCCCCGACAGCCCTCAAGGAACTGCTGTTGAGAGTATGGCGGCTCCCAACACCTCTGAATTAATTGCAATGGGTCGAGTATGGTACCCAGTCCAATCAACTCGGAGCGGTCTCCTTTTCACTAAATCTAATTTTAATAGCCTAATCTTACTAACTAACCTTAATCATATCAGCCCGCATGACCCAAGATTCGCCAATCCCCACTCAAACGCACTTGTGGGGCGCACTGCTAATCCTGGCCCGCGGCTGTCTCCTTAGTATCCGCGCACGTGTTCGAACGGCTAGACGCGTGAGCCTTTCAACAATTTCAAACAAAATTGTTGAAACCACCGCTGTGCACCATTGTAACACGGGTTCGGGTTCCTCTCCCTTTTTCTTCCTTCTTTCTACTCCCTCTACCCGTATTCTTACTTTTATTTCTAAACCAAGGGACTCCAAAACTTTTAACAAAGCCAACTCCACGCCACGTGGTCCTAAGACGATTGACCGACTTAGGATTCTACACCCAGTATGACGTGACCTAAGCTCTGAACAAAACCCTAGAGTCACCTCTGCTGCCACCACCAGACCAGTAATACAAGAGCAATGATCGAGGTCTGGATCGATCACGCTAATTAATCAACCTAGGGGGCTTGATCCCCACTATAAAACGATGACCTTGAGTGTGGAATAAATTACACGGTAATGATAATTCCGATTCGATGTTAGAATCGGCGCCCAATGCAACTCTGCCTCGTGTGGACCACGTGACCAGGACAAGTATACACATAAACAAATGGAAACAATAAAATGCAAATTAATAACAAATTTAATTTATTAAAAGAAAACTAAAACAAAATCTAAAAAATGTTCACTCCCTATCACTTTAACACTCCCTACTTGACCTGAGTGGCAAATGAGACTATTTCTATACTTAACAATAGCAACTATACCTTGGGCGACCACAGCTAGTTGTCTTGGTTGGTCTTGGGGAGAGGTAAGATGTTTGACCTCTCCCAGCTGCTTCCGTGACCCCACTGATTTCTTCCTTGTCTGGTCTCCCCCAGACAGAACATTGTATCCTTCCGCCTAGTCAAAGTTCTACCCAGTTACTAGCAAGGTTTAAGTTATAACAATTAACCTCTGTTGTACTTAATTGATCCAGACTGGTTGAATTATTTTACTGAATTAAATTACAAACATCTAACGGCAGAGCTGTTCCCGATCACAAAAATGGTTATTAAAACTTTGAGAAATATTAGACATGTCAACCCTGCTGACCTATGACCGCCGGTCACTCCGCCTTAAAAGTTAGATCTGATTCGTGACGTCACTGATGGTGACTTAAACTCAATAATTAGAATACTCTTGATATTGTATCCAGTACTATTATACAATACAATTTTAATGCAAAATGAATAAAGGCTAATTTTCTCTAAATTACTGAATACTATAGGATGATTCATTTTACGCAGCTATGAACAAAGCGTTGGTTATTTCCACCGCGAATTCCCCTGGGGGTCAGGTCACCATGCGGCTCAGCTTCCCATTCTCTTTTGTCGATAAACCACTCTGGATAATTCTTACAACAGCCTAGTCTGTTACACTGCTTTTAGCATTAAATCTAATTCTATGTCTGTATACTTGCCCAGTAGCTCCACTTATTACTTGCATTATTGTCATAACGACCCTTCCAAATCCAGCTGCCTCTTGAATGACGAGAACTTTGATGTTTGAACGTTAGATTTTCCACCTACCTTGGTCACCCGGGAGGACTTGGTGAGTGGTGCGGGACGCTGTCTTAACCTTCTTGGTGGACTCCCCGGCCGCCTCACCTTCACTCTTTCAAAGACATGGTTACATTTCTTTAAGTGGTTAGGTGGTTAATTTATGTCACTCATATTATTCCTCAGTTGCATACACTTAGAATCTAATGTCTGCGGATGCACCTGAGTTTGGCAGAGTATGGTAATTAGTCATATATCTAAATAAATAAATAAATAAATGTTTATTCAGGTAAGGTACATACATACAAGAGATTTTAAAAAAATTGATAGATTTATAGATAGAGCTAGTACATACAATGCCTAAAGCCACTATTACGCAAAGCGTTTCGGGCAGAAATCTCATGTTTAATGGATGGGAAATTACTGCCTTTCTGAAGAGACTTTGTTCGCTCCAAACTGTTCTTAATGTGAGAAATAATACGGCTTAATCCTTTGTGTGGAAGTAGATATATGTATTGAACAAGTTGTGGAAATGACATTGCCTAACCTTAAAGAAGAAAACATTTGCAGAAAACATTTATAATAATAATATTTTAATGCTAATGTTAAATTATTTATGTTTGTAAAAGATATAACGCAAATAAATCTAGACTATGAAATAAGATGGAGGCAGGAAAGGCCAAGAGGAGTCGTCTCTCACCTCCACCATCGCCTCCGTCAGCGTGTCGTGGCCGGCTCCACCGCTCCCTGTTTTGGGTGTCCTTAAAGTGGCTGGAGTTACAATTACTGGAGTTGTTGTGGCGGCCCAAGTTGTGGGAGTGGGCGGAGCTGTGGGAGTGGACGGAGCTGAGGGAGTGGACGGAGCTGAGGGAGTGGACGGAACTGTGGTAGTTCGGACGAAGGGGGTATGTGGGATTGTGGTTTCAGGGAAAGCAGTACTGGTAGGTGGGTTGGTGGTTGCAGGGGCGAAAGTTGAAGGGGTAGTGAGTGGTTTGGTGTTTGCTGGGCTAGTAGTAGGTGTTGACGTGGTGCTGGTGGATGGAGTTGTTGGAAGTGGAGTAATCGTGGTTGTAATAGTAGTGGTAGCAGCTGGAAGGTTGGCCTGGGAGGTGGTGGGCTCAGGCCCTAGAGTCTTCTCTAGCAGCAGGCTGTTGTATTCCAGGATCTGGTGCAGCTTCGTATAGTAGGGACACGTCTGGAGGAGACAAGGCAATTGTCAGGAGGAAGCTCTTACGTGAGTATAACAATATATCACCAGGGTATGAGGTCAATAAGCTAGGATATTACGATATTATGAGTGAGAAAACGGTGCCCAACCACTGGGACCATCAGGGATCGAGTTCCGACCCAGCAAGAAGCGAACCGTCATAGCAATGATCAGTTCAAGCTAGTGACAATCTCTGGTGGAATCAACGTTTAGATGGGTCAGATCTTAAACCCCCCTCACCTGGCTATGCACCAGATGGTGTATAACCATCTGCAGATGGTTCAAATGAATAATTTCTCAAAGTTCATTTGAAAATTTGAAATGTTCAATATATTAAATTATTTATATTTTATTTACATTTGTGATCATGTTACGATCTTGAACCATTAGAAAAAGTTGAAGCCTTTGCCATGTTAATTATGCAAAAACAGAGTCAGAGAGTTTGAGGAACTCTGAGAAAACAACGTCACTACCTCTTAAGGCTGACATATCCACCCGCAAGCTGACAGTTTGTTCACTAGAACTGGATTATATGAACACTACACCCAGGCTTGTCGCGTTTTGATGTTATTTTTATGTAATAGTTTCGGATATATTACGTGACTGTGAGGAGACTTGCCTCTCCCTGGGTAATGGAGACCATCTTGGTGAGGTTCACGCCCATGGAGGCCAGGCGACGGAGGCACTGGTCGGCCACGCTCTTAGACAAGGTCGGCGTTCGACTCAGCAACCAGGTGAACTCAGCCCGAAAGCCAAAGTACTCGAGGCAAGAGTACACACAGGAGAACCTGCGGTAGTCAGTGGCGATGACCTGTGGGGAGACGAATGACAGAAAGAGGGACTGAAGGAGAGAGAGAGAGAGGGGGGAGAGAGAGAGAGGAAGAAGAAGTCACTTCCTTAATTCTGGCTATATAAATAACCTAGAAGCAGAAATAATGGAAACAAAAAATCATTGTTGGAACAAAATGTGCTTCAAGGAGCTTAAAAAATCTGAAGCATTGATCAGACATGGACATTTATTTTATATGTAGATAAATATACCGGTAAATAATGCACTTTAGCTCCAATAATTGTATGTACACAGTACCTGGAAGGCCACTTACCAAGACAAGTGGAATCGTCATTAGTAAAGATACCACAGTGTAGCTTACTGAGACTTACACATCTAATATAATGCTAGACCAGACCACACACACTAGGTGAAGGGACGACGACGTTTCGCTCCGTCCTGGACCATTCTCAGTCGACTTGAGAATGGTCCAGGACGGACCGAAACGTCGTCGTCCCTTCACCTTCTAGTGTGTGGTCTGGTCAACATACTTTAGCCACGTTAGTGTGACTCATCGCCTGCATAATGCTAGACATCATAGCTCTGGAATCTGAAGTATTGGTCACCAGAAAAAAATACTTTTTCTCCTAAACTCATTAGTCACGGGGCACCAGGATATGTTGTAATGATCTAGTTCTCCTTCATTAATTATAAAGAAGACAAAGACATTGTCTCTGTCTGTCTGTCTGTCTGTCTGTCTGTGTATCTCCGTCTCTCAGTGAGGGTCTGGACACGTTCGGGACTCATAGAAGGGAAGTGCACATAAGGGAAAGGGAGGTACATGAAGGTCGACACACGGAGATATTAGAAAGAACTTTTTAGTGTCAGAGTGGTTGACAAATGGAATGCATTGGGAAGTGATGTGGTGGAGGCTGACTCCATACACAGTTTCAAGTGTAGATATGATAGAGCCCAATAGGCTCAGGAATCTGTACACCTGTTGATTGACGGTTGAGAGGCGGGACCAAAGAGCCAGAGCTCAACCCCCGCAAACACAACTAGGTGAGCAACTAGGTGAGTACGGATCCACACTAGTGTGTGAGTGATCATCCAAATTGAGATCAGAAACATTTCTTCGCTCTGATAATGGTAAAATATGATTAGAGTTTTTTTTTAATTTTACCAAGTCAGGTGTATAATGTTTTATGATTCTGTAAGAAAATAATTAATTTTTATTTTTTTTGTTTTCTGAGGGTCTAGCTGGTAGTGAGCTGGTTACAAGTGCCAAAATCGTCATGGGGTACATTATGAGACTGTGTCATGTTCTACTCGGAGAAATGGTGCCGACCCCGACCCACCAATGATGGGCACTTACACCACAACAATCACTGTGCAAAGTTAAGCGAGGTTAGCCTCAAGCATATGGCCCCCAACCTCAAACAGAGAGACAGACAAACAGGCAGACAGCCAGACACTTGATGAATATCAAGCAAGAAATACAGCTATGAAGTTAGAATTTCCTGGTAATGTAAGAAAAGTACCGAATTAGGAAGAAGAGTACACGATAAGGAAAGGAAAATACCTGGTAATGAAATCAATAAATGAGAACATTTACCTGGTAAGGTGACTCTGGCATGTTCTCCACGATGACTCTCATATGAGCGGGGTCAGGGGGGTACCTCAGCTCGTCCTCCTTCATGAAGATAAGGTCTTGTCGCACCTTCTTCCCCGCCTCCGTCAGCCCCTTCGACCGGACGTCCATGTACTCGCCTGAAGGTGTAACAAGACGCCCAAATTAATTTGTTGAGGTGGCGGTGATATTGTTATGGTATTAGGGCCATCAGTAAGGTGGTGGTGACCTCAGTAAGGTAGTGTTGATCTCAGTAGGGTGGTGTTGACCTCAGTAGGGAGGTGGTGACCTCAGTAGGGAGGTGGTGAACTAATGATCCTCGAGGGCGTTGCTCTGTCATGCACCGTGCCTGACATACACCGTTCACGACATATGTTCATGGCATTAACTCAAATATCTTATGGGGAGTTACCGGAGACATGTGCGTGAAGGCTCCTGTCTAAGCTTAGATCATCTTCCTTCGGGGAAAATCTAATGAAAATTAACCCCCCAAGGAAGAGTTGAGTCATCGGTGAAGTAGCCCATTAAGCTTTGCTATAATATTTAGGAATTAAAGGAAGAGTTTCTATATGGAAGTGAAGCGTTCAAGCTTGACTATAATTATTGAGACGTTCTTGATGACCGGAAGCTTCAGAGCTGTGGGAACGTCGACATTAGGGCGTGGAGAAGTTGCGGGAACGACATTTTAATAAAAAAAATTATATTATGAAATTTTAAAGTAAAAAGTTGAGTAAAAGCCGAATGCGTCCATATTAAACAGCAATTATGAAATATTAATGTTTACGATAGAGTAATCTGTTAACCCAAACAACAGAGGTGGTGGTGGTGTGGCCCTGACTGACTCATCCAGCACTACCTGGGTGGTGGTGTGGCCCTGACTGACTCATCCAGTACTACCTGGGTGATGGTGTGGCCCTGACTGACTCATCCAGTACTACCTGGGTGATGGTGTGGCCCTGACTGACTCATCCAGCACTACCTGGGTGGTGGTGTGGCCCTGACTGACTCATCCAGTACTACCTGGGTGGTGGTGTGGCCCTGACTGACTCATCCAGCACTACCTGGGTGACGGTGTGGCTCCTGACTGACTCATCCAGCACTACCTGGGTGATGGTGTGGCCCTGACTGACTCATCCATCACTACCTGGGTGATGGTGTGGCCCTGACTGACTCATCCATCACTACCTGGGTGACGGTGTAGCTCCTGACTGACTCATCCAGCACGGGTAAGAAGACTCACCCATCCAGGTGTAGTTCTGGGTGGCACAGGTCTTGGTCTGCTCGTAGTCGTTGGGGACGCTGGCCATGGTGAACCACACTCCCGCGTACTGCCAATGGTGACAACAACTTCATCAATACATTCACCAATGGTCAATATCTTACGGTTATCTCTGTCAACACGAACACTAATACGACAGACAGAACTGTGTGGTCAGGAGAGATGTCAACTTGGCCGTACTCTTCAGGCTATTAAACCTGTGTCTGGTGACACAGGTCTATGTCTCAGACATATATATATACGCTAAGAAAATTGAGAACCTTCATGGAAGTGTCCTACAACTGACCAACCTTCATGGAACTGTCCTACAGCTGACCAACCTTCATGGAAGTGTCCTACAGCTGACCAACCTTCATGGAAGTGTCATACAGCTGACCAACCTTCATGGAAGTGTCATACAGCTGACCAACCTTCATGGAAGTGTCCTACAGCTGACCAACCTTCATGGAAGTGTCCTACAGCTGACCAACCTTCATGGAAGTGTCATACAGCTGACCAACCTTCATGGAAGTGTCCTACAGCTGACCAACCTTCATGGAAGTGTCCTACAGCTGACCAACCTTCATGGAAGTGTCCTACAGCTGACCAACCTTCATGGAAGTGTCCTACAGCTGACCAACCTTCATGGAAGTGTCCTACAGCTGACCAACCTTCATGGAAGTGTCATACAGCTGACCAACCTTCATGGAAGTGTCATACAGCTGACCAACCTTCATGGAAGTGTCATACAGCTGACCAACCTTCATGGAAGTGTCATACAGCTGACCAACCTTCATGGAAGTGTCATACAGCTGACCAACCTTCATGGAAGTGTCATACAGCTGGACACCCTTTGCACAAGTGTCATACAGCTGGACACCCTTCATAGATATATATACTATATCTCTGTCATTCATGAATGGTTCATATTTCCTTATTTATATAAATGTTTGACTTACCTTAACTGGGTCAAAATTGTTGACAAGAGTGACGTTGGCACATTGACCGTGTTCTAAAAAGTCGGGGATACCGAAGAGCGCGTCGGCGGAGAGGATCAGTGGACCAGCCAGCAGCAGTAGTAGCAGCAGCAGGGTCCTCCTGCCTCGCCTCGCTCCTGCTGGGCCTCTCCCACCCGGCGTCCACAACGGTGACTGCATCAGGCGCTCGCTCCGGGACCTCCTCCAAGTTAACTATAAATGTGAACAAGATGGGTATTAGTTGCTCACCAAGTAAATATACATTACAACAGGCATGGGAATTATTAACACAATTAATTTTAGATGTATTTGTGATATACAAAATACTGACACAATTTTGAATTGACAATGCATTGAATAATAAACGAGAATCACGGCAGATATTGGGGTTTAAAAGCAGTACTCAGTTGTTATGGGTGGAGGCTGGAGCCCTGAACGAGGAAGACTGATCCTCTGACCTGAGGGAGAGTGATGGCCTGACCTGAGGGACCTGAGGGTGTTGTAAGAGGAGCAGCTCACTGTAGCGAGGCCAGGCGATGAGTGAGCGACCCACGGCAGGCGTTTAGCGCCCCGTCTTCTAAGCCAGCTAGTTGAAGGCCATCTTGCAGATTTATCATATTTTTTACATAAAATAGAGGACATTTATCCCGGTGTATGAGTTCATCCCTAGTATGGCCTGCTCAGTCATGCTTGCTAATGTAATTTCCATGGCTTGGCATATTTTTTTTTTTTTAAGAATTAACTTTCAATGTGTCTCTTCTGACGTAGGGAATTACGCGTGCAGTTTGGTTACATATAAGTGTTTCTGTTTAATTCTCAACATTTCTATCTACCTTGGAAGGCTCGGTGACGTCAAAATACCTTCCACCAGTCGCCTGATGGAAATCCAAGGAGATAAAAGATTGCGTAAATACTTAATGATGTTCTGGATATTTTATCTCGGCTTCAGAAGCAATTACAAAACACATTAGAGGTACCCAAAATGCAGTTTTATACAATATAAGGGATCACGTACCCTTAAGGGGAGGGAGCCAAGTACCCTTAGGCGAGGGGGGGGGGGGTCAAGTGTCCATTTAAGGGTAGGGTCTCGTAGCCTTAGGGATTGGGAGTCAGGTTCCTTTAGCATTCTTAGAGCTTGGAAACCACGGCTCTCGTGGAGATTGGGAGAAGGGGACTTTCAGGGGAAAGCGCCAAGCCGTTACGACTATATAGCGCAGGGAAGGGATTTGGGATGGGACGGGGGGGGGGGAGAGGAATGGTACCCAACTATTTAGACGGTCGGGGATTGAACGCCGACCTGCATGAACCGAGACCGTCGCTCTACCGTCCAGCCCAAACCGTTTGGATAGGGGATAGGGTAACTTACTGACGTAACAGCTGCACCCAGATCTTATTAGTGAGCTTATTTTGAAGGCGATACAATAAAAACCCGGACCCATAACTAAAGACGTTTCCATTTGTAAATGGAACACTGCGGACTGCGGGACCCCTGACACACGTGAGGTCCGCAGTTCGAGTCTCCCAGAGACCAGGTGAAAGGAACAATTCCCCTGTGTATTTAACCACAAACACATCTACAAGAAAACCGCGACAGGATACATGAATACCAAGGAGCGTCTGAGGTGGTTAAGAAAGTTATCAGGCGTGGCAAAGATGCAAATGTGTGTGTCAAGAACCTCTCGAAATTATAAAGTGCTTATTTGTTTGCTTGCACCAGGAAGAACCGCAGGGCAGTGACGGGTACCTCTTGATGCGGGGCCGCGCGGTTCTGTGCGTGAGAGAGAGAGAGCAGCACCTTGTTTTGTGGTGTCAGATTCAGGTACATGGAACAATAAATTGCAAAGCACAGGCTATGGTGAGCCCGTGGTGCTCACCGGGAACTCTCTCTCTCCCGTGGTGGTCTCTCTCTCTCTCTCCCGGAGAGAGAGAGAGAGAGAGAGAGAGAGAGAGAGAGAGAGAGAGAGAGAGAGAGAGAGAGAGAGAGAGAGAGAGAGAGAGAGAGAGAGAGAGAGAGAGAGAGAGAGAACACGTCACCACTTCATAATACTCAGCCAAGCATGATGTTCAGCAGCCTAAGCTCCTGGATTGATACATCATCATATTCCCGGGAAAGCATTACGAAAAAATATTCGGTACAATCTCTCTAAACCTTTGAGAGATATTATCATCATGCCTCTCCTGTGTCTGAACATTAAATAACATGTTACGTCATGAGTGTCTTTCTTTTTAGGCCTACATAGGCCTATGTTATAGAACACTATTTGTGTTATTCCCCAATTAAAAAAAGTCGGCACTTTTTTGCCTTCTTTTAAATAATTGAATCAATGCAATTTTAACATGGGACATTTTAATGATAATTTGTCTGACTCGCTTCTCATTAGCGTGCCGGGTCTCATAATAATAATAATAATAATAATAATAATAATAATAATAATAATAATAATAATAATAATAATAATAATAATAATAATAATAATTTATTTAGGAACAGTACATACATAGTCGCAGCGTTACAGTACAAACATTCTGTTAGATTTAAAGATAGAGGTAGTACATACAATACCTAAAGCCACTAGTACGCATAGCGTTTCGGGCAAAAAATCATTTCGGGACTCATATTATGAGTGTGACGTCCTGCCTCCATGGGTTGGGGGCTACACTCATTAATACTACACTATTGTAGTGACAAATGTAATAGTCAAAATATTGGAAAAAATAATTAAAACTAAATGGGTGGAACACCTGGAGAGAAACGATATAATATCAGACAGACAGTATGGTTTTCGATCTGGAAGATCCTGTGTATAGAATTTACTTAGTTTCTATGATCGAGCCACAGAGATTTTACAGGAAAGAGATGGTTGGGTTGAATGCATCTATCTAGACCTAAAAAAAAAGGCTTTTGGCAGAGTTCCACATAAGAGGTTGTTTTGGAAACTGGAACATATTGGAGGGGTGACAGGTAAGCTTCTAGCATGGATGAAAAATTTTCTGACAGAAAAATGAGGGCAGTAATCAGAGGCAATGTATCGGACTGGAGAAATGTCACAAGTGGAGTACCACAAGGTTCAGTTCTTGCACTGGTGATATTCATTGTCTACATAAATGATATGCCAGATGGAATACAGAATTATATGAACATGTTTGCTGATGATGCTAAGATAATAGGAAGGATAAGAAACTTAGATGATTGCCATGCCCTTCAAGAAGACCTGGACAAAATAAGTATATGGAGCACCACTTGGGAAATGGAATTTAATGTTAATAAATGCCATGTTATGGAATGTAGAATAGGAGAACATAGACCCCATACAACCTGTAAATTATGTGAGAAATCTTTAAAGAATTCTGTCAAAGAAAGAGATCTAGGGGTGGTTCTAGATAGAAAACTGTCACCTGAGGACCACATAAAGAACATTGTGCGAGGTCTCGAGGAGCCTATGCTACGCTTTCTAACTTTAGAATTGCTTTTAAATACATGGATGGCGAAATACTAAATAAATTGTTCACGACTTTGTTAGACCAAAGCTAAAATATGCAGCGGTTGTGTAGTGCCCATATCTTGAGAAGCACATCAACAAACTGGAAAAGATGCAAAAACTTGCCACTAAGTGGCTTCCAGAACTGAAGGGCAAGAGCTACGAGGAGAGGTTAGAGGTGTTAAATATGCCAAAACTAGAAGATATAAGAAAAAGAGGTGATATGATCACTACGTACAAAATAGTAACAAAAATCGATAAAATTGATAGGGAAGAATTCCTGAGACCCAGAACTGCGAGAACAAGAGGTCATAGATTTAAACTAGCTAAACACAGAAATATAAGAAAATTCACTTTCGCAAAGAGAGTGGTAGACGGTTGGAACAAGTTAGGCGAGAAGGTGGTGGAGGCCAAGACCGTCAGTAGTTTCAAAGCATTATATGACAAAGAGTGCTGGGAAGACGGGACACCACGAGCGTAGCTCTCATCCTGTAACTACACTTAGGTAATTACTAACGAGTTAGACGAGTGTAACTCGTCTAACTCGTTAGTAATTCGGTTCAATCTACAATTAGACGAGTTACCCACTCGTCTAACTCGACGACTAAGACGAGTTCTTAGTCTTCACTCATCTAACTCCCAGGTACTGCTAGGAATAAGGGGCATCAGGTTGAAAGAAACTCTGCCCGCTTGTTTCTGCCTTCCGCTGGGGATCGAACCCGGTTTAGGACTACGAACCCCGAACGCTGTCCACTCAGCCGTCAGGCAGTATGATGGAATTACTAGTATCGATTTCACTTTGCCTCAGCTCTACAAAGATTTGATGAAGTTTACTCGATTTTATCTGAGGGTTACCAACACTAGTCTCCTCGATGAGGACAGGAAGCCGGTGGCTTGTCATATTTATTTATTTATTTATTTATTTATTTATTTATTTATTTATATACAAGAAGGTACATTGGGATTGTGAGGATACATAGCATAGTAATTACATTCTTGTAAAGCCACTAGTATATCAATCCAAGGTTATAGTCAACTCTTTCTTTGAAGGTAGAATCTTTGGCTAATTCATCAGCTCCATCATGCATTAGGAGTTAGTTAGTTTAGTTCATTTATTATGCACCCCATACCCATCTTGTGGGCAGTAGTGGAAAGGGTTACAGAGGCACATAATGGGCTCAGGGACTGAACCCCACAATTCATTTAGCTAAGCAAGTTACAATCTTGATGAGCTAGTTACAAAATTCAGTATAAGTCGTCACATCAACAATGGGAGGCCAACAATGTCTCTGTTAAAATTCAAACTATTCTGAAGAAAGGAAGCGCGCGTAGTGACGTCATCACCCGCTGTACCATTCTCGAATGCGCTGAACACATTTGCTAACCATACAGTTTTTTTCTTTAACAAAGTATAGAGGAACATTAACTAGTATATTGTACCTAAAATATATTATAATATATTACCGATACAAAATAATATACTGCAAAGCACTCTCAAAATATTTAATTTGTGTTCTTTATTAATTGAATGCAAGTTGAGTGAAATCAAAACAATGAACTTTCAAGCTCTTCACCACCCGAGCTATTTTCCCAGTTATTTCAGCATTAACGACATCTTGGCCACAAATGAGAGAGTGCCGTGTAAATTTGAACGAACTGCTTACGGCGTGGGTATGTGATCTCGTTATATACTGAGTGAGAACTCTATGTTGTGGAAGATATACTTGCCTTCAAGTTTGTCTCTCTGGGCAAGCTAATCCCCCCCTCTTCCCCTACCCCAACCTAACCATGTTTACCTAACCATACTTGCCTAACCATGTTTACCTAACCATACTTGCCTAACCATGTTTACCTAACCATACTTGCCTAACCATGTTTACCTAACCAATGAACTTTCATTGGTTACCATACTTGTCTTACCATATTTACTTACCCATACTTGATTAACCATGTGTTGAGGGGTTCACCTAGGGGGGGTTAATGTTGACGGACTACATTTGAGACAATGTGGTTACATGTTAGAGGGGCTCACCTTGAGTTGTAGGCTTCTGGGAGAGTAGCTGAAGCAAGTCTAGGCTTCTTGGGGTAGGTGAGAGGTACGATGGAGGGTGGCGAAGTCTCGGTGTCAGCCAGAATATAAGTAGCTCAAAATACAGCGGGCGGAATATTAAGTATGTGCTCGTCTAGGTGCAGTTGTCTTCTGTCTGGCTTGAGGTTCATTTATTTATGGCTGGGGTTGTTACCTGTACCATTTCGCTGGAATCTGGGGTTGGAAGGGTTTGGCTTTAAAATGTTACATGATACAGGTATGGAAATGAATTTGGGGAAAGGCGGAAATAAACGTGAGACATTCTTGCAGGAACTGAAACGTGAGTGAATGTAGAAAGGGGAACTACAGTATTAATTGAATATCAGATTAAGGGATTTAAATTATTTTACACAGAAAAACAAATTAGATGAGGAGAGGGAGTAGCAATATATGTCAGGGAAAGTGTAAAATGTAATATCAAAGACGGGATTAAAACTGAGCCACATTCAGAAACCATTTAGGTAGAGTTAAATTAAAATAATAATAATCACATAATAAGAAGCCACTAAACTTTGACAGAATGAAAGCAAAGTACAGTATACATATTCTACTTTGTTTTCAGGCAATGTTTATTTTGGCAAGTATAGTTTACCTAAGCAAACCATACTTGCTTGACCATACTCACCTAACCTTATTTGCCTAACTATACTAAAAATGTTTTTGGAAAATGGAAATATTATAAGGGCTCTGAGGCTAGCTAATGATGGTAAGAGTTACCAGATATTAACTTGATAATACTGGGCTTATTATCAAATTCTGGCCCTACCTTGTCTCATATCCTGCCAAGTCCAATACTGTATTTCCTTTCAGGTTATCTTGATGCTTCAAGCGGCAATAAAGATTTAGAAGCAGGAACACAACTTGAAGTACCATGCTGGTTGGCCCGAGCATTGTATTCCCGTCGGCGTATTGTCACCTGCCAACTGCCAAAAACCTTCAAGGAACGATACAGGTTAACAATATTGTACAGTACTGTTACTGTATTTAAGCTTCCAATGAAATAATAATATTAATAATTTTATTTAAAAATATGGAGAATAACATGATACAGTGGTTAATTAGTTGTTACTACATATAATGCATGTTTAAAAAATCATTAGTACACAAAGCATTTTGGGCATAACTTAACAAATTTGGTTAAATTATTTATAGGTTTAATGGGGATAAACACATAATACTAAATAAGTATGGTAACATAAATGAAGTGTTCAAGAAATTTAACAAATGATATACAGTACATTATATATGTGATGCTTAATGATGGAAGGCATAGATTATTTAATTATGGAATCTGTAGATTTAGCAACAGTACAGATATAGTATTTAATATTTATAATAACAGATAAATACACAATTGCCTTGATTTGGATGAGGAAATGTAAGTGAAATGTGTTACACGATTTGAAACTGAACACATGATATGGTTGTGAGTTGTATGAGCAGGCAGCTGTCAAACTTGCTGCATGTAACTGTGCAAGTACTGTATGTGCACAATAATACTAGTGCTACAGTTGTAGTAATTCAGAGCCAAAGTACATTTGTGCTTAATTGCAGATTTTTGGTGAGAGTTAAAAGAAAGATTATAATTAATCATGTAATTCCTGTGGTTAATATTATGGCTCCCATGACACTTACGGTTGTGGATATTCACTTGATATGAGATAATGTAAGAGACCTACAGTTTGTGTTGTCTACATATGTTTATTTTTTATTATGTTTTTTCAGGGAAATAAACTTTGTGAAGTTAAGTAAATTGTTAGCCAGTGATATTTTCTCATTCTCTGAAACTAGCTATCAGCAATATTCTTACTACTACATGTACAACTTATTGATAGAAATGTATAGGAGAAATACATCCACGTTAAGAGAAGACTGTAGCTTAGTTTTGGGGAGAGAGGATTTATGAGTGGCTGAAACAAATACAGTATAATATTTGCTCTTAGTTGCATACGGGTTTCATTGACATTCTAACTATAAATTATAATACATCAAGGTACAGTAATTAATTACAGTAAAATCAAATGTCATTGTTCCATTAACGGAAATGCTTTATTATATTTAAATGTGGTTTTTATTCAACAGGGAAATACTGAAAGCAGATGCAAGTTTAGTTGATCTTCATATGCTCTCTCCCCACTTCTATGAGTTGGGCCAGCATATTTTACCCCTTGCTGGCACTGAGGCACCTATTTTGGGCACACTCTTAGTTGAGGTTAGTCTCCTTTTTGAGTTATAACTTGTTGACTGACATTTTTAATAACACTTGCATTCTGTTAACGCTAAAATGAATCATCTGCACTCCGATGTTAAATGTTCCGATGATGCTAAAATGCATCATCCGATTGCTATTCGTAAACATTGATATATTGCTGTCATACATAATCTATTATAAATACACTTTTGTTTTTGCATTTATTCTCTAGAGAATATATTTGTGAACATTTTAAAATCAAATTTATAGTTATAACCCAACAAATAAATTAGAAAACATAAAATTATTATAGACAATTATAGATAATAGTCAGTCCCTCCTCCCTTTGGGGGTTCAGGCCCTTTCTGGACAGGCCTCCTCTCCTCATCTTCATTGGGTCATCTTGGAGGGTGTCTTTCGAGGTTTCAAAATGATCCCTTCCATTTGCTGGGTTCCTGCCTGTTCTGGTCCTGAGCCAGGATTAATCCTCAGTCCTGAGTTATGCTGGTTCATTCCTTGCTCCTCATTTGGTTGACCACATTGTCCCAGGTCCATCTCATTTTCGGGCCCGTTTCCCTGGACCTCACGGATGCATATTGGCATGTCCCTGTACTTTCGGGGTTTGGAATTTGGTTAGATTTTGTTGTGGGGTGATGGCCTTACCGTTTTCAGGTCTTTCCATTTCGACTGATCTGGCTTCTTGCGTTTTTACGTGTTTGGCTTGGGTCTTGGCGTTCCATCTTCGATTTCTTGGTGTTCGGGTTCTGGCCTACCTTCTTGACTGGCTGGTGTGGGCTCCCAGTTAGTCCACATGTCTGCTGGCCAGGAAAATAGTTCTTTCCCAGCTCACCAGGTTTGGGTTCCTGGTAAACTGGTGGAATTCCCATTTAGTGCTGTCCCAGGTTTGTGAGACTCAGTCAGCTTCACTGTCCTTGCCTTTGGGGGCCTTGACTCAGCTGAAGCACTGCAGTCTGCAATATTGAGTGAGCATCGGGTGTCCTGGCAGTTTGCTTGTGCAGCTGTGAGCCTCAAATTTACCCGCTTATTTTTCTCTTGGGCAAGGTTCAGCTTTGGAAGCTGTTTTGGTTTTTCCAGTGCAGACTCTTCCACTTCAACCATAATCACTCAGTGTGGATTCCAGGGGTCCTGTGCTTACTGTTGTGTCGCCGGCTTCCTCTTAGGGTTTTTAGGGGTTCAGTTCTCTGGCGCCTTCCTCCGCCCTAACCCAACGTCTTCACTGATGCCTCGGTTCTCAGTTGCGGCTTTGTGACCAGTGCTTACCAGCTGGAATGGAGCCAATGCCTCCTCACCTTTTTCTTACTCACAGTAATGTGCAGGAGTTTGTGATCATGTTGCAAATGCTGCAGAGGGCTCGGATCCCTCTGGGCTTTGTAGTCCAGCTCCTTTCTCCCCGTGGTTTGTTATTTCAACTGGTGAGAGGGATAGGGGCTCTCTTCAGTTCTTGTCTTGTAGGAGCTGGGCTTTACATCTAGTTTGCATTCTGGCTTATTAGGGTTTGACTCTTCATGCCGTTCACATCCAGGGTGTGTTCAAATTCCAGGCCAACAGCCTTTCTCAGTTCCATGCCATCTTTCCTGAGTGGACTTGTCAGTGCAGACTCCTTCCTTTGGCTTTGCTGGATGTTTGGGCTCCCGGATGTGAACTACTTTACCAGCTTGGTCATGGTGCTTTCTCTTTACCCAATGCTGTTTCCCAATTGCTTGTGGGGGATGAGGGGGGGTGGGTTTGCTTGTTTGTAGCTAGCTCCTTCTATTCTGGTGAAGACCGAGTCAGTTGGCTTCTGAAGGGGCTGTTAGTTGTTGCTGCTTGGTTGTTTTGACCAGGGGTGCATCCTATTCTGTGTCCAGTAGCAGCTCTTTGCTGCTCCTTTCATGCTGTAAATTTAATTATTGGTAAACCTTTCTCATAATTTAGAATGAAGGAGAAGGAAGCAATGCTTAACTTCTATAAATTAACACTACAAATAACAATTATAACAGCTTAGCTGTTTGAATGTAGTAGATGGTGCAGATCCTCTCCTTTAATGGCTTAAGATGTGAAGTGAGGAAGAAGATATAAATCATAGGGATTTATGATTTATACTCGATTTATGACAAATTACTGAGTAAGATAATAGATGAGGGATCACTAGATTGTTTGTCATAGATTAGACATGCAGTATAGTATACAGTATATGAATGAGTTTGGGTGTAATAAATAAATAAGTGTTGCCGTGCATGCGTCAAAAGGTGTATTCAGTTTCCTGTACTGTATTCTTATTTAAGAATTATAAACACTTGCATAGATAATTAACTTCAGTATTAAAATTTATTGTTTTCTTACATTATTGTTTTTTTTCCAGACATTAAGGGATCGTTTAAGGAGTATCATGGACACATCACTGAATTCTCTTGAGGATGATGCAAACTCTCATATGGCCAAGTTGGATGAATTGGAAAGATCACTGTTTCGCACGGGACGAAAGACTTTTCATGATCACCGACTTTGGCTTTCTCGCAGGGCGCACATTGTCACCACTTCTCCTATGGTTGAACAACACAATAAGAGAAAATTCTCTGAATTGTCTTAGCAACTGCAAAATGACAGAAATATTCTGGTAAAATATATTAATACCTGTACTGTACTTATAAAACTTTAGTGTTTCGTGTGAGAATCAAATTAGCCTGGCCATTGAATTTGGGGGCCCCTCAAATATACAGTATATCTGAATCTCGTGCCTTTTTGATACTGTACAGTAAAGGGAAATGTATGAATACTGGTACTGTACTTTGAATAATGAAACAACCTCGTTTGGTCTTGTAACAGTCATTCACTGGCTTGCAGAGATTGCACCATTTGGTGTAATACTTGTTAAAACCAGTCTTGCAATGATACAAATGCCTTTATCTAAATGAGTACTGTATATTCTTTTGGATGTTAAATAATATAAATGAATACTGTATAATTCACCATTGTTGAAATGTGCCTATTTCATTACTGTATTTTGAGCTAGCTACACAAAGAATATTGAATTTAAGACTGATGAATGTACTGTATTTTCTTGTATATTCTTTTGTTTTTCTTTTGTATAATATTAAGGATACATGACCTTTAAGCTCAAAGACACCTTTGAGGGATGGAGAGCCATGCTCAGGACTTTGTATATCTTTCCTATACAGTATTTTATCCCATTACTAGTGTGTTAAATGTATGCAGTATACTCTATCCTGTATATCACAATTCTAATTAGATGTTCATTATGTAAGTTATTTTTTTTAATTTAAATTGTCATACAAACCTGTTTTAAGTTTGGTATTGCTAGATTTAGGTTGCACACAGCATTTAAATTCAGAGTTGGGGAGCATTTTTTTTATATTTTAATAAATGGTACTCACATAATTAGGTATACCGAGTTTGAGCTTCAGCTCTTTCATCTCGCTTCTTAACTTTCAGTTGGGTAGTGTACTTGATCTCAAGCCTCTTTAGAATCTTGTCATATGTACATTTAAATCTGTGTACAGTATTAAGATTACCTCATCCACTTTACTTTTTAGCACATTATGTTGATCAATTTTCCGACTGAAAACATTCTTTCAAATGCGTCTGGGGGGCTCTTTTAGGTACTTGGTTTCCCATATTTATGTACCACCCATTTTAATACCTTATAATCTGTTCTCATCTGCCCTGCCTACGCACCTGAGAATTTTGCATGTGGTAATCACATCTCCACTGACTCCTCTCTTTCTGTGACTTGAGATTTTATTCCTTTAGTCTTTCATCTTAACCCTCTCAATTCTGAGACTAGTCTTATGGCATACTTTTGTACTTGTTGAGGAATGGGGAAGGAAGAACCATTTCTTGGATCTATGACTTTTTTTTTATCCATTGTATAGATATTAATATTTACAACTAATTTAGTTTTTGGAGTAGCCTTCAAGTTCGTTTGTTTAACATTATGTATTTCACAACATAATGTAGTGAAAGTAGATAGTAATGTCCTCCTGGCATGTGTGGATATTAGTCTGTAATGATCAAGTGTTTTGTTTGTATATCTATTGTGTAAATTAATTTAAATGTGAAGTCATTGAAATTACATTTATGATCATTATAATATATATATATTTAAAAATATATTTGTGAAAAAATGTTGTGTATTTAAACCTGCAATTATAATATAAATATATATACACAAACGAATTTGCAGAATATATTTGCATTGTGTGAAACAGCGCTGGTTTTTATCCAAGTACTCCCCCCCCCCTCCCCCCCACACACACATTTAAGACAGTTGATTGACAGTTGAGAGGCGGGCCGAAAGAGCAGAGCTCAACCCCCGCAAGCACAACTAGGTGAACACACTCACACACACTTTTAAATACATGGATGGCGATATACTAAAGAAATTGTTCACGACTTTTTTTAGGCCAAAGCTAGAATATGCAGCGGTTGTGTGGTGCCCATATCTTAAGAAGCACATCAACAAACTGGAAAAGGTACAAAGACATGCTACTAAGTGGCTCCCAGAACTGAAGGACAAGAGCTATGAGGAGAGATAAGAGGCATTAAATATGCCAAAACTAGAAGACAGAAGAAAAAGAGGTGATATGATCACTGCGTACAAAATAGTAACAGGAATTGATAAAATCGATAGGGAAGATTTCCCGAGACCTGGAACTTCAAGAACAAGAGGTCATAGATTTAAACTAGCTAAACACAGATGCTGAAGAAATATAAGAAAATTCACTTTCACAAACAGAGTGGTATATGGTTGGAACAAGTTAGGTGAGGTGGTGGTGGAGGCCAAGACCTTCAGTAGTTTCAAAGCGTTATATGACAAAGAGTGTTGTGAAGATGGGACACCACGAGCGTAGCTCTCATACTGTAACTACACTAGGTAATTTCACTCACTCACTCTTACTTGTTTAACTAATTCTTGAAATTTTCCATTACTTCTACCAAATAATTATGATATATTTACCAAATATGATATATTTGGTAGCTTGTTCCATAGATCTTCTTCCCTATTTATAAACCAGTTTATGCTAATTTCTTTCCTAAATTTAAACTTATTGAACTTAAATCCATTGTTAAGTTCTAACATTGATATTTTATGCACCTTATTTTTGTCCCCCATTGTTATGTTCTTTATGCCACTTGTACATTTCAGGCATGTCCCACCGTACTCTGTTTTTTCAGAGAAATTAAATCAAGTTTTCAGTCACTTCATTTTGGAGGTTATTAATTTTTTGGATTAATTGGGAATCCTCTTTTTTTTATCTTATAGATAGTTTGTATCTATAGTAAATGCTCAAAACTGTAACGGCCTAATCCAAGTGGAGTATTACAGTGAATTAGTTGAAGGATAACAAGTGTTGTTAAATTAATACTAGTGAATTAATGATAATTATAAATTCTTGTACCTTATTTACCCCATTTTAATATTGTTTAGTTGATATTTATTTATTTATTTTTCTTTATTTATAACCCTTCACAAGTCAGTATTTAATTGTATCTGTCAATTTTCAGTCTATATTAAAAATATTTTGAAGTCATTGTACTGACCCATCTAGGTGGTTGCCTCATGTATGGTGCACAAATCTTTTATATTGATACTGTACCAGATATGGAACATATGAAAGATTGATTTTTCTTCATACTGAGGTTATTGATTTTATTTACTGACTAGAAAAGTGGTGTCTCACCACAGCATGCACTTGGAAAATAATATACAGTACCACAAAAAAGGTTGAGATTGACAAATATGTAAGTACAGAAATTACTGAAAGACTATGTAGCATCAATTTAGAGTGGATGCAACGTTGCATCCAACTAGACAACAACAACTAGACACCCAGGGCACAACTCCATAACCCCATGGGATTGATGGATGCCTACTATATGTAGCATCATCTGTGGTGCTGGATGTTCAAAAGCAACTGTCTGCCATAATATAACTCGAGATGCCAGTATGAGAACAAAATGACATGAGGCAAGTGATATAAAAAGTACTGGATTTTTTCCAAGGATTCTTCTGATGGACCCTTATGGTGTCCATCATAAGGTTCTGATGGACCTTAGACCCTTAGGGACAAGATGTCAGTGTATGTATAAATTGTCAGGGCAGGTATGGCCATCATGGCAGACATCAAAATAATATACTGTACGGTACTGTATTTATGCTACTTAGCGAGGCCGAACAGATTGTGGTACATATATAGCACTGGTTGTGAGCACACTCGTTTGCAAGGATGTCGCCATGGACCTGAAAGGAGGGGGAACAAAAGGTGCTGTAGTAACCATTAAAGATAAAATCACCCCAGGTGATGAGGGAGGGAATTATCAGGGAAAAGTGCCAAGCCATTATGACTATATATCACTTGGAAGGGATCAGGATAAGGATTTGAGATGGGACTGGGAAAGGAATGGTGCCCAACCACTTGGACAGTCAGGGATTGAACGCCGACCTGCATGAAGTGAGACCATCGCTCTACCGTCCAGCTCAAGTGGTGATGAGGTAGTCCCCACTGGGAACTCAGAAATGGACTTTGCCAAGAGAATGGATCAGTAGAAGTAGCCAAAGACAAAGCTGGGTCAGGACCCAAGATAGCCATAGATACAGAGCCCTAACTTCCATCAGAATCTGACTTTGGCACATGGTCATCTAAGCCATGACCCTGAAAAGGGATGTGTAAAAAAAAAAAAAAAAAAAAAAAATATGAAATTAATATAAAATTGGACTTTGCTGCCTAACAATCCCACCAACCATGGAGCTCAACAAGGGAAGGCACATAAACATGGCAACCTTATAGGTAACGGGGATAGTATATCAGCTACCTTGGTTGAATTTAACAACAAAAATTGAACTATTAGAGCATCAATATTTTCAGGGTCTGTGAGATTACAATTTTTCTTTTTCTTTATTAATAATGCTAAACCTTTCTTATATGGAAGCATTCTGACATTTTCCATTAGCATTTTCCTTCATAAATACAAGGACATAAAGAAACTCACATTTGTAGTTTTAAAGTAAGTATATTCTGGAAACAATGGAACAGTACAAGTACTTAATGTAAAATAATTCCTTAAGATTTCAGAGTAACAAGCACAATTCAATTGGGTATAAATGCAGTCACTTAACATTACATGGAATATGGAATATGCCATCTTGTTTTTAAAGGAAAAAAAGATTTAGTATTTACCAAAAAAAAAAAATAAATTGTAATGCCTTTTTGTAATGTAATGTATGTTTTGTAAAGAAACATAATACTGTATATTATATCACCAACCATCTCTGGAGGGCCTCAACAGACTTGTTACCAGGCCTTAGCTTAGGACTGGGCAATTTAGTCCACTTCCTCGATGGTTGGTCCAGGTCGTGAGCCTCTGGTGGTGTTGGGTCCCGCAGATTCCTGGCCCGCCATCCCTGGTCCATAGATCTTGGCTGCCAAGGGTCGCCACACATCCTCCACCTTCTTGAGATGGTACTCATACTCGTCCTTCTCTGCCAGCTGGTTATCGTCTACCCACTTGAGGGTTTCGTCCACCTGGTTGGTGATGCGCTGCCGCTCCTCTTCAGACAGTTTGTTGGAGACGCCCTCCTCCCTAAGGCTGCTCTTCAAACTCAAGCACAGTGACTCCAGACGATTTTTACTTTCAATTCTCTCTCTCTGGCGAGTGTCCTCCTCAGAATATTTCTCGGCGTCATGTACCATTCTGTCAATTTCTTCCTTGCTCAGACGACCCTTGTCGTTGGTGATGGTGATTTTGTTTACTTTACCTGTCGACTTGTCCACTGCAGACACATTCAGGATCCCATTGGCGTCAATGTCAAAGGTGACTTCAATTTGGGGAACGCCCCGAGGTGCCGGAGGGATACCATTCAGGTCAAACTTGCCCAGTAGATTGTTGTCTTTGGTCATAGTGCGTTCACCCTCGAATACCTGGATAGTGACCGCTGGTTGGTTATCTGAATATGTGGAGAAGATCTGTGAATGTTTCGTGGGAATGGTGGTGTTGCGTTTAATTAGAGAAGTCATGACTCCTCCAGCTGTCTCAATGCCCAAAGACAGAGGTGCCACATCAAGGAGGAGCAGGTCCTTAACTCCCTCCGACTGGTCACCATGAAGGATGGCAGCCTGAACAGCCGCACCGTAGGCCACCGCCTCGTCAGGGTTGATGGATTTATTGAGGTCTTTGCCATTGAAGAAGTCTTGCAGCAACTTCTGCACTTTGGGGATGCGGGTAGATCCACCCACCAGCACAATGTCGTGAATGCTGCTCTTATCAAGCTTGGCGTCCCGTAACGCCTTCTCCACCGGCACCAGAGTGCCACGGAAAAGGTCTGAACACAGTTCCTCGAACCTGGCTCGAGTGATGGACGTGTAAAAGTCGATACCATCAAACAGCGAGTCGATCTCTATAGTCGCCTGAGATGAAGACGAGAGTGTGCGCTTGGCTCTTTCACATGCCGTCCTCAGACGTCGCAAAGCACGCTTGTTGCCACTGATGTCTTTCTTGTACTTCCTCTGAAACTCTTGCACAAAGTGATTTACCATCCGGTTGTCAAAATCTTCTCCGCCTAGATGTGTGTCTCCCGCCGTTGATTTGACCTCAAATATGCCCTCATCGATGCTCAAGATGGACACGTCAAAGGTTCCGCCTCCAAGATCAAAGATGAGCACATTACGTTCCCTGCAATTTCCGGTGCCTACCTTTTTGTCGAGACCGTAGGCGATGGCTGCTGCAGTTGGCTCGTTGATGATGCGCAGAACATTGAGTCCAGCGATGGCACCAGCGTCCTTCGTGGCCTGGCGCTGAGAGTCATTGAAGTAGGCAGGTACTGTGATGACGGCGTCAATCACTTTCTTGCCCAGGAACGCCTCTGCTGTCTCCTTCATCTTGGTCAGAACCATAGACGAGATCTCTTCCGGGTTGAAAGTCTTGCTTTCTCCCTTGAAACTGACGCGTATCTTGGGTTTGCCATTGTCGCTGACCACATCGAATGGCCAATGTTTCATGTCAGTCTTAACTGTAGGGTCGTCATACTTACGACCAATAAGTCGTTTAGCATCAAAGATTGTGTTGTTTGGGTTGAGAGCCGCCTGATTCTTGGCTGCGTCACCGATGAGTCGTTCTGTGTCAGTGAAGGCGACGTAAGAGGGCGTGGTCCTGTTGCCCTGGTCGTTAGCAATGATCTCCACCTTGCCCAGCTGGAACACGCCCACACAAGAGTAGGTCGTGCCCAGGTCAATACCGATAGCTGGAGATGACATAGTGACACTTGGCTGTAATAACTCTTTATCACAAACTATTTACCACCGATACTCCTTAAGATGAGCCTTTTCGCGGTAAAGTTTTACGTCTCAAGTGTGTTAACTGTTGTGTTGCGTGTCGGGATATGATGCTCCGGGAGAGGACTCGCCAGCTTATATCTGGCGGCGGCGGAGCTCTAGAGCTTTCTCGGCTGTTCCTATACGCGGCGTGCTTTCTAGACTATAACAACAACACTTCATCTCAACAGAAAAGAAAGTAACAAGTTATTACCATAGACATTTATAGTTAAGCTCAATTAAAAATATATTTTTAGTAATAACAATTATATATGGATATGCAGAAAAGTGTTCTGACGTTTTAGATTGCTTCTTCGTTTTCTTTGATGGTGACTTGAGTTCAAAGAAAACCTTAACTTATTTAATCGTTGGTACTGAATTTTATCTTTTAATTTTTACTTATTTATATACAAAGAAAGTACATTGGGTTGTGAGAGTGCATACAATGGTGAGTGTTACATTCTTGCAATTCTTGTACAGCCACGAAAATGCGTGTTATAGGCTTTGCGAGAGTGTGAATTCTGTAAACATTCACCAATGTTATGTACGCTCACATAACCCAATGTACCTTCTTGCATATAAATAAAGAATACAAAAATAAAGCTAACAGTAAATGAATAATAGGTACATTGTAACAGAATTTGAATTCAACATAACAACTACATTATAAAGTGACAGAATAGATTATACTAACGAATTTGCATGTTTTAACTACTAAATTGTGTTAGTGTGAAGCACACTATACAGTGTGAATTAGTAACACAAGGTGGGAAATATGAGGATGAAATTAGATACTTTTCGGTTCTTTTTTTTTCCAAATAAAGTATAGGTTAGAATTTTGTTAATTCATTGAGGAGTGAGTTTCATATACTGAGTCTTTTTATTTGCATACTAGGAACGTTATAACAACCATTATAAACATTATTAATACACAGAACAAGAGTTTCAGTCTCATTTGTATGGATACCATCTCACAGGTGTTGTCCAGAATAACTCACAAGGAACATCTTATGTATTCATTCCTTACCTGAAGATGTTCTAGAGTGGAACGAAACGTTGTAGAAAATTAATCCTTCAGTAATCCCTACTTTCTTTACCATGAATTTTGGTAACTTGATTGTTCTTTTACTCCTAGTAAGAAAATAGAAGCACAGAAGGTTTTTATTATAAGATCACCAATGTATATATATATATCCAATGATCACCAATATATATATATATATATATATATATATATATATATATATATATATATATATATATATATATATATATAGTTAGATAGATAGATAAGAGTGTGTGTACGAATAAGAATTCGTACTGTACATCGACGTACAATTTATTTACAATTAATTAAGCGCACTCAATGCATGATCAGCCGCACGACTGCTAGATCATTCTAAAGTATGCATTGAGGATAAGATAAAGCACGCTGTGAACAAGACTGATAAAAACCACAGGTGTGTGTGTGAAGCACGTGTGGCTGCAGTGCTGGAGAATAAGCGAGAAGCAGTATGTATTGATTACCTGTAACACATGAGAGACTAGTGACATCTGTGGCCCTCCCCTGCGCCAATGATGTTCTAATATGGTTTATTGAGCTGCAAGGATGGATTTGGGGTCAAGTTACAAAGGATGCGTTATATGATCACTGGATAAGCAAATATTATAGACTTGCAGGACGCTTGAAGCCTACAGACAGCACGTCAACGGGCTTCCTGCAAAATTTGGGATATATGCCTAGGATTTTGGGTAATATATCGTCCTGGATAAAATGCATTTCGTGAAATTTAATGATGGAGTTGTCTCTAAACTCGTGGATTTTTTTCACCATTAATTACATAGTGACAACGTATGTGAATAAAGTTTTGCTGTCAGGGTCAGATCTACTTCAGCAGGTGAAAACCTTTAGACGTCCTTTTTGCAGAGCCTAATTCTACTTGTTAGTAGTAACGTCTAGAAGTCTGCAGACCTAGTTGGGTGACCCGTAAAGACATGTGGCTCTTTTTCATAGTAGTAGTATAATAGAGATAATAGCTATAATAGTATAGTTTTCATAGTAGTATAATGATAGAAGTAATAGGCTATAATGATGTATGACAACCAAACAATGGTTGCTTTCAGACAATTGTTGTTTTCTGGGTTTGGTTAGGCTAAGTAAGATTAGATTAGGATGGTTTCCGGTTTCTTGACCAAAAGGCTTGGTAAGGATGGGAGGAAGAAGGATGGGGAACGGAAATTCAGGAAATGGGAAGTGGGGAAAAAGTTTGGTGGTCTCTCCACCAGGGTTGGCATGGGGTGTAGGTCTTTTGTTTGGTGTGTTATTTTATTTGTTTGTTGTGGTGTTGTCAGCCCGTTGGTTTGGCTGGCAAGTGGGTGTCAATTATGCCCTAAGTTAGCGTCTAGGGTGCCCTGAGCCGATGACAGTGGCTT